TTGGACGCTTATCCTTTTCTTCTTTTTTGGTACTACAACCGTTTGTCGGTCTAGGCCGAGACCAAAAGCTTCGCCAATATCCTCACCTAGACCACCCGCCCGCCCTCATTGCCGACTTCCGTAACTTCGTAACTTTTGTTGAAACTTTTTTCTCGGGAGTGCCTTTTTCAATTTCAAAATGACCCTCGAACTGCAACTGGCCCTAGGCTTAAATGAGTGAAAACAAAAGAATGAATTACCAAGTCGGAAATGCTTAATATTTTGGGTTGTATTGCTGACTCACGGTTTAGACCGGAAGTGAGTTAAACATAGCGGAAGTCCTTTGTTTTAAGAGGAAGCATATTCCAGAAAAAAGTTTCCGACAAAAGTTATGTATTTTTATGCGCAGAATCCGAATCTGTGGAAAAAAACATTTATGTTCATTTAAAAAATTTACTTCCGGTCGAAACCGGAAGTCGGTAATACCACCAAAAGATAGAGCATCCCCGATTTGCTACGACAACTTTCAAATAGCAAAAACATACATCTTTGTACTTACTTACAGGGTCTATAGTCGTTGACTAATAAACAAACCTATAGTTTTAGTTAACATTTATTCAACAACAAAGTTGGTAAAATATTACACAATCGAAGACTGAGGAGCTTGTATTGCCTCGTTCGCTAATACTTTATGGCTAGTAATAACTGGAAGGTTATTTCGGACTACAGATCCAACGAATGTCGGTGTCGGCGGAGGTGAAAATAATGGCTGTTCTATATACTGGTTAGAAGATGAGTATGGTTGAAAAGAGTTTGTATGTTCATCGAGATATGGAGTCGATGTCCGCGATGAATACGAATATGGCGTATGTGTCCGAGCCGAGAGTCCTTTTAACACTTATAAACCTCCCAAAAGAGAGGCTTAGAATTCTAACAGGTATCCCTACAGGACACCGCAGACTAAGGGGTCACCTACATAAGCTGCGCATATGGTCTAATGATCTTTGCAGGTTCTGTGACTTGATCAGCGAGACAGCGCTTCACATTCTCACCTAGTGTGATGCAGTACGCAGAAGACGTGAGAGCACAATGTGACCACAGCTTGAGCACATCCACTCCCTACCCCAGGAGACGCTATTGAACTTTCTGAGGGATCTGGACTTAGATGAAGTGTTGTTAAGACAAGAGGGCACAATGCATCGCCAAGTCGCGGTGGTATTTGGTCACAGCCTTCATCAGCAATAACGAGCGATAATCCACAATTTCGCCATAAGAAAATTTATCCATTGCCGACGTTTTCCGGTTTGCCTGACGAGTGGCAAGTGTTTTAGAAGCCTTTGAAAGCGCAACTCGACTCTTCGAATATTCAAATTTGCACAACATCATCCAGCTACGAGTTGCGTTAAAGGACAGAGCAAAAGAAACAGAGGAAGCACTCCTCGCGAATTCTAACTATGTGGCAACAATAATGGAGACTCTGCAAGCCACTTATGGTCGCCCTGAGCAGCTAATCAAGAGTCAAATTAAAAACGTGCGAATGATGTCAACAATAGCCGATGACAGTTTACGAGTTGTTGGTAAATTTTGCAACACAAATGAATAATATGATTATGTTTTTAAGGAATGCTAAAGAGGAGCATCATTTGTCTCTAATCATACATTATTGAGTGAGCTTGTTGGTAAAAACATTGATTGGTTGAATACTGTTCGACGTTTAGCACATATAGTAGCAGATTCTTTGCCAATAGCGTCGAATCCTTTCAGGGAAAAGAAAACACCTAAGTTTTCTGGGTCAAATGCAGTACGTCGTTTTGTTACTGTTGGCGTTGCACATCGAAAGTGTTTGCAGTGTGACGGTGAGTGTTCACAATTAAAAGAGTGCCGAAGTTGTCTGCAGTTGAGCGTTGCTAATCATGTGATAGAGCCAAAGAGATGCGGGTGTGCTATTGCTGTTTAAAAAAGCTCTGATCCAATACTTCTCGTGAAAAATCCTGTAAAACTGCCAAACAGCAAAATTACTCTCTGAAGTGAGAGTAAAAAGTGAGTAACAACAAAAAGTAGGGGAACAAAAAATCCATTTTTCCTGTAAAAACGTCAACCAGTGATTGCTTGACACCTTTCATGAATTTACCAGAAGAAAAAGTTCGGGTAAAATCTTGCAACTTCATTCTCTACACAACTATCCAAAAGTCGCTCTCATTTACAGGATTTTGTAGGATTTTGGAGTACGGGAACATTTTTCCAGCAACTTCCTGCAAGTTCGTGTAAAATCCTGTAAGTTCATGGAGTACTGGATCAGAGCTAAAGAGTACATCATGAAAGGAATTGTTATTCGCGGAAACGTTGTGGGGCGTTGTCATACGGACGATGGAATTAGTCAACATGTACTTTTTCAAATCATGCCCGTTAAATTGTATGCGATCGGGATTGTAAGATCTGCATACTCCTTTTGTGGTGACGAATGCAGATGGTTTGTAATACGATTTTTGGATTTGCCGGAGGCCGAACTGCAACATAGCAGCAGCTCTGCGGATTTGCAAAGAATGAAAAGCCTACCGTTTCGTTTGTTTCTTCGTTCATATATTTCAATTCATTGTTTCACAAGTTTAATATTTCATTTAATGTTTCTGTTTTTTGTATAAAAAGAAAGTAATTGTGTATTCTTGGTTGTAGTATGTTAAATGGAAAACAAAAAATAAAGGATTCACCAAAATCGGAAAATATTTTAAATTAATTAAAATAAACGCACAAGTTTCTTTTAAATGTTTCATTTTGTTAGTTCAATATATGTTTGTTGTTTTTTTGTTTTGTTTTTTGCCAACATTTTTTGTGTTTTTTTTTGTAGATTTTTGTTGTAAAAAACGCATGCAGCGGTATACATATACTGCTAGTGCAGTTAAACTTCCGCTTTTCAAATTGGAACAGGACATTTGGAAATTGCGTTGAGAATGAATACCTGTTTTCATTCGCTTTTATTTTGGTTTTTGTTTTTGTAATATTTTCCCTTATTTCTTATTTTTTTCTTAAATTTGTTTTCTTTTGTATTTTACTAGTTTTTATCGTGATTTCATTATATAAATAAGTTAAAACGTGCGCGCAAGTTTATTATGATACGAGTATTTTTTATCTATGCAATGCAAAGAAATTTAACAAAAAAAATATATATATATAAAATACAATCAAAATGAAACCGGAAAATAATTTAAATTAAATAAAAACAAATGCATTGCTCAGGACCGAGCAAATATCTTTTCTTGTCTATGTGGGTTTTTCACGTTTAGTTTCAAATATGTAAAAACCGTTTTTGACACGGCACGGACCAATTTAGAAACGTGCGTAGTTGCATAATACGTTTAGAAAAGGAAAAGGCAAATATAGTATGTAGATGTAGGGGCAGGTGTTGATGGAGGAATAAATGAATGTTAAACAATTTTCTCTCGTTGAACGCACGATTCCAAATGTCCCAACCAAAAGTAGAGCCGTTTCAAAACAGCACGTAGTTCATACTATACAGTGGTGGTGTCGACGGACTCGATGCGAGCAGCGCCAGCATCACCACCTGCGGCTACATCCCCATTGGCAGCAGCACCGCTACCACCATCGGCTTTCTTCTCATCGAACTTGAGCAGCTCCACATTCACCGGTACGGTCTTTGTCTGTGGCGGTTGTACAGCGTCTCCTTCACCGCCGCTGGCATTTCCAGTACCACCACCACCACCACCGGTGGTCACCGTGAGCGAAAAGTCAGTCAGCGAGTTGAGCACTTTATTAATTTCGTCCTCAGTGCTTGGAGCGCCATTGCGATTACCGAAATGTAAATAGCATTTACCAAACTGACCTTAAATTACACGGATAAAATCATAAAAAAATTAGATGTCTGAAGTGAAACAGAAATCATTCCGCACGCTTACTACATAAAAAAGCCACAAATCAAAAATTATATAACACTTCAGGAGAGCAGGGGTGTATGCAGAAAATACTGTAATAATTCTACGAAATTTTAAGTTTTACCGCAGAATGTGTTTTGCATTGGTGTTTGTCTAGTTTTTCTTTGTAATTTTTGTTTTACATTTCAATTCTGCGATTAAGGAATATTTTTTGTTTATAACCCTTCGATTTTTGATAAAACACGAGTACAAATACGATAATTTTGCAGGAATAGCAATTGCTTAGCTCGAAATCTCTTACCGCTTGTTTGGGCCTCTTAATCGACTAGTTTAATGGCAGGTCCTGTATACCAGCGGAAGCTATAGCTTTATGCAAAGTGGTTGTAATAGATTAGTACTTTTGGCATTTTTTTTACTTCCATTAAGACTATCGGCGCAAAATATGTAAAAAAAATTGTACAACTATCATCGCACATTGTGGCAATCTTCTTCGGTGCATATCGACCAAATTAAATATGCGACGATAATCGGTACAACATAACAAGGCTGACATCCAAAACGTATCAATACAATGTTTGGACACTGTTGTACTGCGGTATTCAAACTGTGTGTATATGCAGAAGTGCGACACATTGCAATCATATAAATTGCATATTTTAAATATTCAATATAGCAATGAACAATTTTTCTGAATTTCCCATTTTTATAACACCAATGGTAACCAATAACAAACGAAGCATCAACTTTCTGATTGCTCTAGCGATGCATTTCGATAACTTTTCGGATGCGTTGGAAAAATATGCATTGTCAATATTTTGTAGTTCGGCGTTAGGGAACATTATGCTTTGTACGTATGCAAAGCAATTGACGTTTTGAAAGTCAGCCCAACACTATTGTGTTGGATTAATTATTGAAATGCGCCGAAAATCGGCCCATTGCGCCGACAATGGAATCTTAGCTTTGAAAATTGAAATTGAATTGACCATGCTCTGAGGAAAAATATCAAACACCGATATGTTCCATATGGCAAATGGCTGATCAAATAAATTTTTGTAAGTGTGACTCAAAAAGCAGCGTTTTATTTTTAAACACTACTCAATTCATGAAATTTAAATTTGGTTTGATCGAATCTTGTTTTGTAGAAAACATTATTTAAATAGGGCATAACGATATTTTCTAGTTTATGAAGAGTTTGTTATATTATTTAGGGGTCTATACTGTGATTTCATACGGACATTCATGGTAAAACGACGAAACTCGAAACTTTTTGATTGTAACTATTTTATTTTTAGTGTGCGATATTATCCTCAAATAAAAGGGACAAAATATTCGTAAGCATACTATTAAATATTTGAAACCTGACAACTTACCCTTCCATGAAATGTAGAGCGGGTTACATTCACGCTTGCGCAACTCCGACTTCAAATCCTTTACGCGTACATCGCGCGTAATATTTGAAAGTTTGATGCAAAAGTCGCGAGCAAGACGATTCTTACGTACGCGCTGCTGTTGTTGTTGTTGCTTGCGATCCCCGCCGGCACCTTTTCGCTCCTGGCTTTTGCCTTCGACGCCTGATTGATCTCCTTCAGACTAAACAATAAAATAATATTGATTAAGTTTGTCAAAAATTGCTTGCTAATAAATATTTACCTTTGTTGGTCGTCGTCTACGATTGCCGAAACGGCGGTTTCGGCGTGGATTACGTTTTTGTTGTTCTTGCTATTGTAAAATATAATACATAAATAAAGAAATTTCATATGAAATATAAACATAAACCTACGCCCTGTTGTTCAGTATCAGTTTGCGAGATTGCGCGACGTTGATTACGACGCCTAAAGCGACGAATCGGTCCACGACGACGGCTGCGAGCGTTTTGGTTTTGTTCAATGTCAGTATCCTCTTCCTTTAGAACGATTACTTTGCCAGCCTTCTCCTCGTTCTCCTTAAGCACCTGCAGTACAGGCACAATTTTCAGGCGGCGTTCCGACAGCAATTCCCAGAATATGCCAGTTGGGCGTGGCAACCGCTTGGCTACATGTATAACCTCTGTGGGTGTCACAATCAAATCAATAGGTGTATCGTACTTTTGGAAAAGCTCTTTTGGCAGGTTATCCACAACCTGAAAACAAAGAAGAATAAAATGCATTACATGCATGGAAAATATAACAACGTTGATAGAGTACTAATGCACAGAAACAAAACACATCGCTTATCAACTGTTTAACGAATAAAAATGTTGCGATGAACCTGAGGTCAGCAACGATTTGCTTAGCTCTATTTCGAGACATTCATGCGTGTGTACTTTGCTTTTAATATTCTCACACACACTACATACCTGTAGGTCATGTACCATCGTAGCTATTACTGTGTCCGGTGTAATTGAACCAATTTCGGTAAGTAATCCGATGTCCTGATCGGCGAAACCGTTACCACGTCCAATGCGGTAACCATCTCGTGATACCAACACCGAACCAATTACTACCATGTCCAACTTAACTTTGTTATCTAAAGCTAAAAAAAAAAAACAAAAAAAAAAACCAATTCATTAATATATGAGTTTTAATTATATGCATGTATGCATGCAGTCAATTTTATTGCACCTACTCATAGAACTCATAAACTTACTGATTTCGGTGCGATGTTGTTGAATATCCTGCACATTCAGTATTTCCTTCTTCTGTTCATCAGTAGCGTCAGCAGGCACATCAACTTTCAAATAGATGGCTGTCGAGTCACGTGTACCGGGTAAATACAGAGTTTTGCCGGCAAGCAAGGTTTGCAATTTTACCGAATGTAAAGCCCGATCGATGTTTACCTTGATATTTTCTAAACAAACAAATATAATGCAAATTAAAATCTTGGCGATAACGCACATCTAAAATCACTGATTTCTTATGTACTTACCCGCCTTCTTGAACTCATCGGTTTCGGAGAGGAGCTTGGCCGCCTTGTCGCTATCCACGAAGCCAGGTATGCGATTGAAAATGGCATTGAAACCAACGCCGCACTTGTTGTCTTGAATCTTCTTCCACGTTTGGACACGCAGTGAGCGCTTTGTGGGCTCAGCGGGTACTTGCGCTGAAATTTATAAAGGACATAAAGATAAATATTGAAAACATTAATTTGCTTTAGATTTGTTTTGATAATGCAAATGAATTAATCACATTTAAATGTAACCTAAGGTAATTTAACAGAAGTCAAATAAATGTGTAACTGCCGCTATGAACTTCTCAATCAATTCAAATTTTCCACATCTGTTGAACAATTATTTTTGAAATTTTATTAAACATTTTTATGATTTATTTTTTTTTGATTTTGATTTATTTGATAGCACTTTCAGCTTTGCTTGTGCAGCAGGAGCAACTTGAAATTGTTTGCAGCCTCGATTTGCGTTATTTCAAGTGCAAATAACACTTTCCAATTTTTATTTCCGTAAGCGATTCCGGCAAATTTGCAAAATGTACTTTTTGGGCGTAAGCACAGGAAAGTGGACTTTCGCTTTCGCGGTTTGCTGTTGTTGTTGTTGTCAAAAGCGCTACTGTAAAAAAAAGCTTGCATTGCCACGTCTAACCGCATTTTAAGGAGTTAAAAACGAAATTATTTTCGTACAGGTAGAACGCATTACGTCATAAACCAGCTTTGCACTAATATGACAAGGCATTGAAACACTAAGAAAATAATTAGTACACCAAGCACATCCCAGTGGGAAAAGGGGAATGCTTTACTTTTTTCTACCAAACAAAAGATTAACAACTACGGTTGGCCGAAAAGATGCATCGCAATGTAAGCGAGCGGAAAATGTTTAGTTTTAAAGCCACAAAACAAAAAGTTTTTGAACTAACTAAGAATACAAATCTGTAGACATTTGATAAAACAACTTCTCTCGGGTGAGGTCATTTTCTATACAAGGCACTAATTAACTGAGTTCTCATATGATGTTTTTATTTTTAATCGTTAATAGGAGTAGTTTAAGATGCTATCTTAATGAAAGTTAAATAAAAATTTTAAATTTTATTTGGAAGCTCCTTAAAATTAACCCTTATTTCTAACCTACAGAAAGCTAAGTTGGATGCATGTTCGACTACCAACTTGGTCACGGGTTCAAACTCTGTGGCCCTATCTCAGAATTTGATTGAAGAAGGCCCTGTTTCAGAATTCGTTCAGAATATTCAATATATTTTCAAATGAGATAGCACGGTTTTGAACCAAATTCTGAGATAGGGCGATTTTCAGCCAAATTCTGAAGTAGGGCGTTCACGAGCCATTTTCTAAGATAGGAGGTTTTCGAACCGGTTGCGGAGTTAGGTCTATCTTCCACTCAGCCTTCGATAGTTTTGTAAAACGACATGCGATACATCATTTTCATATGACAACGCTGTAGAGAAATTCTGGTATATTTTCGTGCATGGGCTATCGATTACTTTATGCATTCCCAAACATTATCTTTTTCCACTGGGATGTTTAAAACTGTGTATATATATATATGTACATATGTATGTATCTACATAGGCATATGCACATACAGTCAGTCAATAAAGTTTAGGTATACCAAATTTTTTTGCAATATGGGCAACTATTTTTTAAATACTTTATTTTTTGCTAATTTTGTATAAAAATATGGTTAAATCTACCACAGAAATCCCAAAAATCAGAATTCCCAACCTTGTACAAAATTAAAGAAAATCTGCAAACTTTCATTCAAATATTGCACTTTTCAGCCCATTCAATTTTAGTACAATATGTTCCTATATAATCGTAATTTTCTCCATAAACAGTTATTATTTTCTAATCTGAATGCCTGTGATTCGAATCGAGGAATGCCTTGATCTAAATAGAAATTAGGACTCGACATTTTAGTAAGTTTTTGGCTTTTTTATCTTAGTTCATTTAATGTTTATTATTTATTTTATGAAAGTAAAGCTCTTTTCATAAAAGAAACCAAATTATACCAAATTTCCAACTCTGTGCAAAAAACTATAAAAATTAATTTTGCAATGTTTCACCAAATTTTTAAACTTTTTAATTAGAATCTTTAGAAAAAAAATTGGTTTGCAGTTTTGTAACTCCTTAAAGTTGAGTGGAAAGTGCCGTCTCTTTCAAAAAAATGGTCGAACATACTTACTTTGTATGACAAAAATGCGTATCACCGCCAATAAGAAAAAATTGCCAAAAATTAACGGTAAGCCTTAGCGACTGAAATTGCACTATACTAAAAATTTGCAAAATTTGCTCTCATAAATATGGTCACCGTAACTATAGTAGATATTGTAGCTACTAAGAGCGCAGTTACACGATATGTATTTCCATATGTAAATGCTACTTTTCTGATGCGTTCTACTATATATGATACAAACGAGTACATGCAAAAAAGTAGCATTTACATGTGCGAATACATATCGTGTAAGAGCCCTGTAAATATGTATGCACAAATGTACATACATTGCATACGACCGCGCAATATGTCGTACTCCATATCAAACACTCTCCAAACTCCAAACGTTTCGATGATAATAGTTCCAAGAAAGTAAAACTAGTAAATAGTTTTAAAATGGGACCAAAGAATGGAGATCTCAATCAGTACATATGTATGTACGTATGTATTTGTTTTTGCAATCACAATTTGTATGCGCCAGCCCATTTCTACAAACGAATTGCTAATAAAAGCCAGCGAAAAGCAAATGGAAAAATGGCAAACAGCTAGCGATGTTGTTGGCATTCATCAGCGATGAGCAAATCATACGAATCATCAATAAGCCATATATGTACGTAGTGTTATACGAATTTTAGTCAACGGCTGACGAGTTGTGGTGTTGAGTAACCAATCAACTCCATACAGGCAATTCTTGAAAACTAAAATGTACAATGTCTTAAAATTCTTACAGTCAGTAAACCACTTTAAATTAAATGCTACAGTGAGATGTGATGAGTTGCTTCCAATATTATCATATGTATTTTTTAATGATGATGTACCAAAGTAGCGTTAAAAACGGTAAATAATAAAAATACTAGAAAATTACCAATAAATAGTAAATGTATGATCTGCATTCACGACAGTGGCCCCTTATATACAGAAAACTAACTGTGTGTATATAAGCAAAAATTGCATTGAATATAAATAATTATTTACCTACATACTATGTACATACACATGTACCTACATATGTACGGAGCGTGTTTTTTCTCTGAATTGACTCTTTGTCCATTGTGAAACACAGGGATCGAGGTGTGGCTGGCACAGACTTTATGAGGATGACAAATATCTATATGTATGTATGTATGTACATATGTATGGTTGTCCACAAAATAGCTAGTTCAACCAATTTTCAAAAGAATTTCAAACTTTTTGTTCAAAATTTTTAAAAAACTTTAGGTATGAAATTTAACCCATTAAATTTTAGTAGTGGAAGTTTCAAGCTGCTAAAAAATTGCGTTGATTTGTGGCATTTTTTTTTTTTTTTTGTTTAAGGTGCTACGTATTTTGCTGGAAACACCGTTAACAAAAGAAACTGTTAAAAATTAACGGTATTTTGTGGCCACTTGAAGCTTGCATTTCATTATACGAAAATCGATAGGGTTATAAAACTTTAAACAAACAAAAGAAAAATAGGGCAAACTGGTCAAAATATCGCACTCCTATATGTTGAAAAGAATATGTAAAACGAAATTTGCAATTTATTATGAATGCACATATGTACATATATGTATGTATGTACATTAGGGTGGTCCAACAAATGTCGGAATTTTAATGCTCTCACCACTAGGATTTTTCTATATCGCAAAAAATATGCTTCTACTTTTTTTATTTTGAAATAAAAAAAAACCTAAAAAAAATTTTTAATTTTGAGGGAATTTTTTTTTTAATGTGGTAAATTTAATACTTTGACTTATATGGTTGATGTTATAGAATCAATAATACTTATTTTTTTAAATTAACGAAATAAATTTAAGACGTAAGAAATTGTGAACATTTCAAGTTCTCTGAACATTTATTTAAGCTTTTAAAGCTTACGACATACAACTATACGACACTTACGACACTGTTTTGAATCCCTCAATTGTAAAAAATAAGTGTGCTATTTGGTTGAGCGCCACTGTATGTATTTATTAATTAACGCAAATTAAAATATTATTTATTTCAAGCTTTATTGAAAAGCAAAACCTTCTCTAAATTTGTAGTTTACATCTCTTAATTCTCAGAAAAATTAAAAAATCTAGAGTTTTACGCCACCTTCGAAAGCCGATGATTTCTGTTGGGCTTTGCCATTGGGGCAAAGGGAATCCAACCTGTGTGCTTCAGAGTGGTATTACGCATTTCCAATCATTCGGTTACGGCGATGACGATGTACACATATGTATGTATGTACATATGTATGCGTTACCTTTACTAAACAATTTGCGGGAATATTTGTGATTAGAACCATTTTAAGTGTAATATTCAAAATTACAAATTTTGTATGTACATTAGTTAAGAAGAGAGAGAGGTGTTTAGACGTGTTTGGCTCTGCTCGGAAAACTTTGTATTGCAAAAATGGCAAAGCGACCATAGCCAAGTGTTAAAAATCGCTAAATATGCGAGATAGAGACTCAATAAGCGAATTTATGTTTTATTAATTACAAATAAAGTGAACAAAATTCCAAAACTAACTATTTTATATTGAAAATAAGTTTTTCACATTTATACAAAATATAAACATAGATCATATACACAGATAAATAAACGGAAAAAATGGGTGTGTGTGCAAAATGCAATTCCACAATAAGAGGGGAAAGTGGTATAGCATGTGAAGGAGTGTGTGGTAAAGTGTACCATGAGAGCCTACAATGTTCAGGAGTTGATAAATATAGCGCAAAAATTATTGGTGAGAAAAACAACCTGATACGATTTATGTGTGACGAATGTATAACATACATACAAAACGTCGACCTGGTGCTACAAGATATGCAGATGAGTGTAAAAAAAAATAACTCTATATTAAACGAATACAAGAGCGAATTCGAAGAAACTATGAAAAAAAGTCAAAATGAGATAAAGTCACTATTGGAAGCAGTTGAAACGCGGTATACACAACGTGTTGCAA